CAAGTTCTGGCATGGACATTTTGTGAGATGTTTGTGTGTGTGTATATAGTTCCGTAACTGGTGTAACCATCACCCTAGTCAAGTTACAGAACTGGTCTATCACTATAAAGAAATTCCTTCAGGTTATTTCCCACCCCCAAACCTAACTCCTGGCTACCACTGACCTGTTCACCATTATGATTTTGTCTCTTCTAGAATATTATATAAATGGAATTACACCAGATGGGATAACCCTTTGAGATCAGCTTCTTTTCCTCAGCATAATTCCTTTGATACGCATCTAAATTGTTATGTGTGTCAATCGTTAATTTGATTACTGAGTAGTTATTCCACAGTGTGGATTTACCAGTTTGTCTATCCATTCACCTGGTGTAGGATATTTGGGCTGCCTCCAGTTTTTGACTAGAACAAAGAAAGCTGCAATGAATATTTGTGTACAGGTTTTTAGCGTGAACATAACTCTTCATTTCTCTAAGATAAATAACCCATGACAGAGATTGCTGGGTCATATGGTATATGTATATTTAATTTTATAAGAAACTGATAAACTATTTTCTAAAGTGGCTAAACCATTTTACATTCCTCATCCGCACTTGGCACTACTGATATTTTTAATTTTTGTTATTTTTCTATATGTGTGTAATATGTAAATCATGCATCTTTAATTTGTATTTCCCTGCAGGGAAATGTATGTTTATTTACCATTGGCATGTCCTCTTTAGGCAAGTGTCTGTTCAAGTCCTTTGCCCATATTCTAATTGGATTGTTTGTTTTCTTACTATTCAGCTTAGCGACTTCTTTCTTATCCTAAATACAAGTTCATTATGAGACAGTGATCTGAAAATATTTTCTCCCAATCTGTGCCTTATTTTTTTTCATCCTTTTAGCAAGGATTTTATCAAAAGCAAAAGGTTTTCATTTGATGGAAGGTTTTCATTTGTATCCATTTTGTTTCCTCATTAGTGCAGGGCAGGGATGGAAGCCAGGGTTCCGTGCAGAGGGCTCTGCCAGAGGGCCACACCTCCTCATTACCGCAGGATAAGATTTGTCACCGACTGACAGGTCACTCACCTCCAAAACCTCATACATTGAAGTCCTAACCCCCAATGTGATTGTATCTGGAGATAGTGCCTCCAGATGATTAAGGGTAAATATTTAGGGTAATTAAGGGTAAATGAGGTCATAAAGATAAGGCCCTAATCTGATAGGACTAGAAAGAGACATGTAAGAAAAGGAAGAGACCCCTTGGTCTCTCGGTGTGTGCTGGAGAAAAGATCACATGAAGATGCAGTGAGAAGGCAGCCCATCTACAAGCCAGGAACTGAGATCTCGCCAGAAACCAATCCAAAGGCAGCCTAACTCGGGCTTCAGCCTCCAGAACCGTGAGAAAATAGTTTTCTGTCGTCTAAGCCACCCAATCTGCTGTCTCCTGCTATGGCAACTCGAACGGACTCATAGAGGGCAGAAACAACCCTTCTGTAGGGGAGCGTCCCCACCTCCTTACTGCAAAGAGGATGGGCCACAGGGTTCTGCCTGAGGGACTCCATCCCACAATGCCTGTCAGGGTGACGGAGGGGCTCGTGGTCTGAGCCCTATGAGTAAGTAGGTATAGATAAAGGTTTCTGACCCATTAGGCTGTCCTTTTCACAAAGAACTTTTCACATTATTTGTATAAAAAGCCTAGACTCCTCTTCTGGCTAATTTTTGGTCTTTACCTGTTTTCAGATTGTAGGCTTATCTAGTGCCAAGCTCAGGACAAATAGGAGGCAAGAAAAAAAAAAACCTAGGGAATTCACTTCCGAGTAATTACTCAAGTCCCAAGCTCCTAGTCTAACCACCTTCTCTTCTCCAGTTTTTGGACTTACGTATTTTGTCCGGGTTTCTTTTGTTGTTGCTGTTGTGATTCGTGGGAGGAGCAAAATGGAATGTTTCCTTAATCCTGTCTAAAACTGTAAACTGCAACTGGCTTTTTAAAAAACAAAATTAGGGGCGCCTGGGTGGCTCAGTCGGTTAAGCATCTGACTTCGGCTCAGGTCATGATCTCACGGTTCGTGGGTTCAAGCCCCGCGTCGGGCTCTGTGCTGACAGCCAGCTCAGAGCCTGGAGCCTGCTTCAGATTCTGTATCTCCCTCTCTCTCTGACCCTCCCCTGTTAACGCTGTCTCTCTCTCAGAAATAAATTTTAAAAAATAAATTAATTAAATTAAATTAAATTAAAAGTGAGATTCCAGAAGGGTAACAGCAGCATTCTCAGGCGACAGAAGTTTTCTTGATTGGGGAACACATCCAGGATTTATTGACTCAGTCTGGTATAGAAAACACGGCTTGGTAGGCACAGTTTTTGTCTCAGTTTTTATGTGACCTGGGGCAAATTGTCTCACCTGCCCGTGTCTCAATCTCTTCATCCCTCAAAGATGTAATTTGACTTGATCTGGATTCGTAGATAGGTTTTACCTCTTGAGCCAACAGAATCAAATAAGAAAGCTTTTTGAGAAGTACTTTAAGACCATGATTAGGCACTTGTTGGGATGAGCACTGGGTGTTATATGGAAATTTATTGTGACAATAAACTATTTGTGAAAAAAAAAATACACCACGCCAAAAAAAAAAAAAAAAAAGAAAAGAAAAGAAATATAGACCAATTCTAAAGACAAAAAAAAAAAAAAAAGACCATGATTAGGCTTAGTAAGAAGGAACACAGTATTTTGTTAGGAATGTCTGCTTAATGCACAAGATAGGATCATAGTAGCATACCTGCTTTGTTTTTTTATCCTTAGACTAGAAGATCTCTAAGAACTTTTCTAGTTCAAACTTCCTGTAATTCTAATACAAAAAGGAAGTTAACTTCAATATCTGGACATTGTAAATGAAAGCAAAAGAGATAAAAATTATCTTATGAGAAGGGAAGATAAACCATATTAGGAATACAATGTAATAATTGAGAAAAAATTTATCTGGGTTTCCTGACAGCCACAGCAAAAAAGGAAATACATTGATTATCTAGATCTCACCCTTTCTCTTTCCTTCTTTCTATCTTCTTTTCTACTTTCAGATGAACTGTTAAAATTTTTATATTCTTTTTTTCTCTATGAATTCAGAAGTGGAGAGATTATTTCCATCATTTCAATAGTTATTCTTAAATTTAAAAAGTATATGCTTTATAAATGTTTCAAAAAGAGTGTAAAGTTGTTCAGCTTTAGGACCTCTATCCTTCTCCCAAACAGGACATAGATGTTGATATGCTGAATATTCAGTGAAGGCTCCATATCCTTTTCTATTATTCTTGTTCAGAGATTTAGTTTCATGTTTTTGGATACCTTGTGACTTATTTTTTTTTTCAGTTTTTCTGCTTAGTTTTGCATCTTGCATCACAGTTAAAATCTCTTCTTGCTAAAGTATGTTCTTTATAATTTTTTAAGTGATCGTTTGTGAGTGAAAAATTCTCTTAGCCTTATATGTGGAAAAATGTTTTTATTTCCCTATAATGAGAGTGTCTCACACTAGCAGTGATCATAAGTTAGGACTGGCAATCAAACTCACATAACACAATAGGATTGAATCTGTCATTACATTTATTTAGATTTATAGAAGGATAGAAGTCCAGAAAGATGGTATTTTTCCCAGTGGGAAGCTCTAAAGCTATGTATGTACACAGCTTCTTGTCTCTCCCCTTACCTATCAAGGATATGTGCAACAAATAGGAATAACTTCAACATGTATGTAGTTTAACTTGGCACAGAGAAGCCACTGCTTTAACCCTTTTATATTGTTCCTATCATATAAGCCCAACGCTTGTCTGCCTACCTATAGCATCCTCAGTGAAGAACTCTCACTAATCAGAAATTTCACAGTAAATTAGATTATTGTCTCTTATATGTAACATTCCACATTTGTCTTAACTCAGCCTGTGTCCAAGGAAATGATGCCATAAGAAGGAAGAACTGAAACCTTTCTTCCCAGGAAAGCCTTTTTCTGCTTAGGTTCTGGACCTGATCTCAGAGGTGGTTTTGCAAGGCATAGGATTCTAGGTTGAGAGTGATTTCCCCTCAGCAATTGGTAGATATTGCTCCATTGTCAACTAGTATCTATAGTTGCTGATGTGAAGTCGGCTGTCTGCCTAATGGTCATGCCTATAAGACTGATTTTTCTAATAGATTTTAATATTTTTTAGAAAAATTTATTTTTAATTTCTGATTTTTAATTGCATAATGATGCATCTAAGTATTCATTTATTTTTATTTATCCTTATTTTTTTAAAAAATGTTTTATTTATTTCTGAGAGAGAGAGAGAGCGTGAGCAGGGGAGGGTCAGAGAGATAGGGAGATACAGAATCTGAAGCAGGCTCCAGGCTGTGAGCTGGCAGTCAGCACAGAGCCTGATGCGGGGCTCGAACCCACAAACCGTGAGATCATGACCTGAACTGAAGTTGGAGGCTTAACCGACTGAACCATCCAGGTGCCCCTATTTATCCTTCTTAAGACAAGGGTTACATTTTTAATCTAAGGATTTGCATCATCAATTCTAAAAAACACTTAGCCAATGTCTCTTCAACTATTGTTACTCCACTCTTTCCTCTATTCTAATTTTTGGAGCTTCTACTAGACCTAAATTTTACCACCTTAATCCATCCTCTAATTCTCCAAATTTCTTTCTTCAGTTCTACTTTATTATTTACAAATTCTCTCTGATTGTGTCTTTTATAAAGTTTATACAAACTTATCTCCAGAATCTCCAACAGCCTATTTCTAGATCTGCTTATTATTTGGTTTTTTGGCATGTTTTGTTCCATATTTTCTTATTCTTTATTATAAATGTTTTCTTTCCTTTATCTTGTTGGTAAAAGTCTAAGTATCTCATAATAAAAGCTTTTTCAGATTGTTCAACTATCTTCACTTCATCTGAAAAAGAATTTCACTAATTTATTTTGGTAGCTATCTTTTCTTAGCATTTTTTTTCTTTGTAAATTATGTAAATTAAATTAATTAGATTTTTAGATTTACCTTGAGTAGGAGGAAGCTTTGTCAATCATTTAGGGGTTTCTTCCTCCATCCAGTCTCTCTCTTTTCTTTCCTTTTCAGCTGTTTTTTGGTTGCCTTCATCCAATCCAGCCAGCCTCCCAAGCTAAAATGAAATCATATGTTGTTATATCAGATAATATGCCCCATAAGGATAGGCTAATGTGATAGGAATCATGACATTAGAGCTCTAGTCACTGGATAATCTCCTGGCTTCAAACGTATGTCTGGATCTTCCCTTCTTGGATAATCAGGTAATAGTAGACAGAAGTTTGGGTGTTTTTTTTTTAAAGCTTTCGTTTATGGAATGGTACTGTACCCCATGCTCTAAAGTCAAACAATAATCTCAGTTCTGATCCCCACTTGCTTGGCACCTTTAGACCCTGTCACCCCATGAGAATTGAAAATTAGTGGCCTCTGCCTCTTTATAGAGCCAGAGCCTAGTGGACCCTCAACTACAGCCCCACTTATTGCTTTGCATTCCTGTTTGCATTCTGGCCCAAAAAAAGCACTTATTTTGTCCCTTAGAGTATTGTTATCCTTTAAATTTTCTCCCTTATCATTTTTTTCTATAATAACTGTTATCCAAAGAAGGGGGTAGCTCAAATGTTGAAACTTTGTCTTGAAGAGAATTACAATAGATCTCATTAGCCAGTATAAAATGTACTCCACATCTTTAGAAACATTTTTTAAAGATACACTTAGTAAGACAATGGAAAAATACTTTAGAGGTGGCTCTTCCCAAGTAGACATTTCTTTACCATTCCTGCACAAAACCAGATAGCATAGTACTTAAATGTCATTCAATGATGACATTTCTAATGGAATTAGAGTTGTGGTCTAAATAAATTTTTAAACTTGGTTTAAGGTTAAAATGTAGAGACTGAATGGTTAGCTTCAAATATCCCTCAAATATCACTCTTCTCAGTTAAGCTTTTTGACAGGGCTAAATTTCAGTCAGTCCAAGATTGAGCTCTTTAGAGGAAGTGAAGACATTGTGTTGATTGAAAAGAGATCCATATGCTTTAGGCATATGTTTTAGACTGTCAGGTGGCAAGGCTGACATTCTGTTATAAAAATTCAGGAGCCTGACTTGTATTCTCACCCCAGCAGAAGGCCTTCTCACCCCCCAAAGTGAGCCATAGTAGTGCCTGTGAAAAAGCTAAACTTTTTATTTAAAAAGAGCCTCAAATCCTCTCAAAGTCTTGGTAGAAACCTCACTTGAGGTTTTCCACAGAACAGGAGGAATTTTCTAGGACCCAGAAGGAAAATATTGATAAAAGAAGACCTTAGTTCAGAGGGAGTTTTAAAAGGAAGGGACACACATGTCCCCTTTATTCAAAGTTGAATTCAGAAAGGAACCTCCATGTGCTCACCTTATACTTAGTTCTGAGGATGGAGATATGATGGTGAATTGGTTCCTATCCTATTCATATGTGGACCAAAAAAGAGAGAGAGAGAGAGAGAGAGATGGAGAGATTCCCCATTTGCTTCATAGAGAGTCACCAGGAGGTAGGCTTAGAACAAGACTAGAGACAGAGATAGGAGCCAAGGAATGAATAGTTATGAAACATACAAAGACCAAACTAAGGCAGTAAGAATGTAGAAGGGATAAGGAAGGTTTTAAAATGTATTTAAGAAACAGAATTCTGATCTATTGTAAAGTAAGGATACAAGATTATTTTTATAATTCCAGAATGATTCTTACATCTTTTTATCTTTTTTTTTTTTTTTTTTTGCTTATTGACAGAGGTGATTGATAGGGCCATTAATCAGCACAAAAACATGGGAGGAAAAGAAGGAAAAGGAGCAATAAGGCAAAGAGTTCAGCTTTTAGATAGATTGAACTTTAAGTGTTTGGGAGACATCCAGATGGAAGAATCTAGTGGGCAGTGTATATACAGTAGGTTTCAGGACAGAAACTATAAATTTGGGAGTCATCAACAACATATAGAGATATAGAATGAACAGAGAAAGAACTCTAAAGGGGAGATCAGGAGAAAGTTATCACTTTTAATTCCATGAAAAATTTTTCAGTTCAGATAAATGAATACAGATCACAGAGTTGGCATTTTTTTTAATATCATGAGGTCACAGAACACCCACTACCCTTCTTTATCTTTGTTGTATCTTGAAACTGGCTCAGCATATCTAAAGTTCTGACAAAATAACCATGTAACCTGAGAAGTTGGATTTGGAACTGGGTTCATTCTCTGAAATGCATTAACTGCTAGCATAAAGCTCAGTCTGAGAGAGAGAGAGAGAGAGAGAGAGAGAGAGAGAGAGAGATCATGGAATCCCACAGAGGTTCAGTCCATGATATCAAAGGAGAATGCAAATCCAAGTAAGCAGTATCTTTCATATGTGGACCAAAGAGAGAGAGAGAGAGAGAGAGAGAGAGAGAGAGATGGAGAGATTCCCCAAATGCTTCATAGAGAGTCATCAGGAGGTAGCAGCACCCCAGGGATCAGGCAAAATTAGGAGATTAGGTTAGGAGAAGATTCAGTTAGGAGCACCAGCAATGGGAAGAATCCAGAAACAAGGGAGACAATGTACTATCAGAACGGTCGGACCTGGGGCTTTGGGGCTAGATCTCAGATAAGAGGTAGTAAAACACCTAATAAAATACTTCCTCAATAGTATTCAAACCCATGACCTCTTCATTTTCGTTGCTGCTGTTTTGGTTCAGGTCACCATCACCTCTTGCCTGAATTACTGAAACAACCTCTTACTGGATCACTCCTACAGTTTTGTTCTCTCATCTTGAATTCACTCTTGTCACTGCAACTGGGGTAACCCTTTAAAAGTATAAATCTGACCATATCACACCCACTTTCCACTTTAAAACCATTCCCTGTAACCCTCTTTGTCATGTGATAAAGTCTGAATCCTTAATGTGACCCCGTAAGATTTTTATGAGCTGGTCCCCATTCACCTTTGTAATTCTGTTTCTTACCACATGTTGCCTAATAATCAGTGGCCCAGACAAACTAAATAATGAGCCATTCTCTAAACTTTACCTCTCCTCGAGGTCTTTGCAAACTGCTTCCCCTGCCTAGAGTACTTTCCAATTTCTTCTTTTAGGGGGATGCCTGCTCTCCTTGCATCTCGGCTGAGATATCACTTCCATATAAACCAGAACGAGTCGAGTGCCTTAGCCACATGCTCCCAGAGCATCACACATTTTCTGTGATACACTGTCCTGTACTATTGTAATTCTCTCTGGCTCTCTCCTCTATGCACTCCAGCTTTCAGGACAATAAGGCCTGTTTGTTTACCATTTTATCCTCAGCACTTACCCTGATATCTTAAAATGGTCTGTACCTATTTGTTGTTTGAATACTTCATTTTCTTTTTTTTTTAAGTTTTAAAGATGTATTAATTAATTTTTAATTTTTTAACATTTATTCATTTTTGAGACACAGAGAGAGGCAGAGTGCAAGCAGAGGTGAGACAGAGAGAGAGGGAGACACAGAATCTGAAGCAGGATCCAGGTTCTGAGCTGTCAGCACAGAGCCCAATGCAGGGCTCAAACTCACAAACTGCAAGATCATGACCTGAGCTGAAGTCAGATGCTTAACCGACTGAGCCACCCAGGATCCCCTTAAATATTTTTTTAAATGTTTATTTATTTATTTTGAGAGAGAGAGAGAGAGAATGCGAAGGAAGGGGAGAGAGGGAGGGGAAAAGAGAGAGTCCCAAGCAGGCTCCATGCTGTCAGAGCAGAGCCTGAGCAGGGCTTGATCTCATGACCCTAGGTTCATGACCTGAGCCGAAATCAAGAGTTGGAGGCTTAACTGACTGAGCCACCTAGGTGTTCCAAATACTTCATTTTCCCGTTCAACTACAAAATCATGGGTTATGGCTGGAAGGTACCCTCTCCATTACAGCTGATTTAGTACAGTGACTGAGGTGGAGTTAGGATGGTAATGGTGGGGAGCTCTAACTAAAGAGAAAGAAGGATTGCTCAAACCCTAGTGTCTTTGTATCCTTTTCTTCACTGCATAAGCCTCAGGAAAAAAATAAGTTTGTGTCTGCCTATAGAGGGCTTATGTCATCTTATATTAGAGACCTCTCTTTTCTAGTTTGTATTGTGTGGGATTGATACCACAGTCAAACTCTAAGATTGGGACACCCACATGACCAATTAGAATATGCTATTCCTTATGCTCCATTAAAGCTCACATGACCTTAGATGACCCAATGAGAGCCTTCCACAGGACATTTGCTGGAGCAAAAATGAAGTCTTTCTGTAGATAGTATAAATTAGCACAAAGAAGGCTACAATTGTGATCTACCTAAATATAGACTAATAGATGACTTGTGAAATAAATAAATAATGAAACCACTTAAAATAATGATATCTCTGATTGATTGTTCAGTGACTGATGTTACATAATTTTTTAAAGTTTATTTATTTATTTTGAGAGAGAAAGAAAGAGAGAGCAAGCAAACATCCCAAGCAGGCTCTGCACTGTCAGCACACAGCCTGACAGAGAGTTTGAAGTCACCAACTGTGAGATCATGACCTGAGCGGAAATCAGGAATGAAGCACTCAACTGACTGAGCCACCCAGGTACCCCTTTTTTATGTAAAAAAAAAGTTACATATTTTTATGCATATACTGCATTACATAGATATATATGTATATATAATCCAAATTCTGTTTATGTAGATAGATAGTTAAGTAACAGAAAAACTAAGAACATGATTATACTATTTCTGACTTATACATAGAGGATATATAACAAAGCTACCGACATAAGACTGAATAGCACAGTTTCTACAAAAATTATCCTTGTATTTTTAGGGTGTGGTTGTTAGGTAGACTTTATACGGCAAGACCACTACTTAGCAGTGAGAAATATCACTTCTCCCCCAAGGGGAATGATGTTTCCACTAGGCAGATGTTAATCTCCAGGCAAGAAATACAGAGCAGGCTTTAGGACTAGATAAAAGGTTGAAAAACTTTTCCTGTAAAGATCCAGATAGTAAATATTTTTGGCTCTGTAGGCCATACTGCCTCTGTCACAACCTTTCAGTTCTGCCACTGTAGTGCGAAAGCAGTCATAGACAATATGTAAATAAATGAGCGTGGCTGGGTTC